TTCTTTCATCCAAATTTAAAGAGAGAAACCCGACATCAGTTGCTTCACAGGTGAGAGACTTTTAGTGACTTGTGCTCTTTGGTGAAGTTTGTGGAATGACGGTCGGGAGGTGGTTTGGTCGGGAGGTCAGACTGGTGGATTCTGTGTTCAATTCTTTCCTTGATTTCAACGGTGATGCACTGAAATTGAGCGCCATACTTTAGCGCTTCGGTTTTTCTTGTCCAGGATGCGGAAATTTCCAATTTGAAATAGGTTTTCATCCAAAATATTCTGGGAGGGCAAGCTTATTTAATATTTTGGCATTCGAGCAAATCATTTTTTCGATGCATTGACTTGCGAATTAGCATCTTGAATCAATTTTCGAATTTGGCATATTAATTCCAAAATTACTCGAGCGTGGCATTGTGACAAATTAAGACTGAGACCCCGGAGCCATGGGGAGCAAACTCTCACTTTGCTTTACTCTGTCCACTCCACTTGGGAGCAAACGGTCAACTCTTTCAAGTGTTCAACTGTGCCCGGCTTGGATGAAGGAATCAGATAAAACAGCCAGGATTTTAAAGTTGGAATATTAAATGAGGACTAACGAAACAACACCAACTAACGGAGGCAGAGTGGAAGCAACCCAAAGAGCAGGGACAAGATTGGCTAGATTATTTTTTATTATTATTATTTCTGTTATTTTTTAATAAAAGTAATGGACAACAGAAACAATTTTTATTTCAATAAAATATTGTTATCGTCCCTCCATGTTGTTTTATTTTGCAATCCAACCGTTTGAGTGAGCCAGATAAACTCTCTGGAATAAGCCAAGTTCTAGAGAGGTCTTGAGAAAACTTTGCAGTACGATTGGCACTTAGTTTCAGTAAACAGTTCGTTTCTCATGTCAAAGTACGCCACAGATACGTCTTTTTAGCATTTCTTGCTGACTCTTTCAGTTTTTTCTTCACATACAACCCTTTTTGAAGTCGTCACGCAAAGGAAAAAGCGTAACATGGTGTCGCGTCTGGTTGAGTGACGACCCTTAGAAAAGCCGCGTACCGAGTTGTTTAAAATTCGAAATTAAATTTTAGACATATCTGTGGAGTACATTGGAACAAAAACAAACCGTTTACTAAAACCAGTCTACAAGCGCACCGCTAAGTTTTACCGAGACCTCAACATTTACTGTAAACACCTATATATGTCCCAAGCTGGACACATTATTTCTCCTTGATAATTCCCGACGTTTTTCTGATGTTATGAGAATTTGGTTGTACATCAAGACTATTGCAAGTACTCTTATCATTCGTCCACTTGGAAATATATTGACACGGAAAGGAGAAATAAAATGTTCATCCCTCTTGGAACTGGTTTGAGAACGTTTTCCAATACCTCTCCACTGGGCTTCCTTTTAAAAGCCGGTTTCCAAAGAATCGCCGGTAAATTCGAGAAAATTTAAAGCCGGATACGAAATGAACATTTTTGAGTCTTTTTCCTGCTTATGTTCGCTCATAAATCAAAGAGAAAACGGTCCGAAATAAATTTGTGCGCACGATAAATCAAACGTTCAGAATGAAACAATTCCAGCAACTGTGTGATAACCAACCTTTCACTTTAACGCTCAGATTTCTGGAGTGAAATTTCAATTCCCAAATTTTCGAACTACTTGACATGAAAAAAACATTCCAGATCACAGCAAAACTGTAGTCAAACCAAAAAACAAAACGTAGGTCATGCAAATTTCTGCTTGCTATTTGCACGCACCGTGTAATTCTTTATACAGTTCAATAGATCAAAACAATTGTTGAAAAGGCCGTTTATCAGCGGTTATAAAACACCCGAAATCAACTAAAAACAAACGTTAATTTCTTTAAAGTTATTTTTCTGCCAAAAAGGCTTGCACAAATAATATCTACAAAATGCAATCTTTCCTCATATCTTCCCCAGTTGCTTGATGAAGTAGTAATTTAGTCAAATTACATCTAGTAACGTTTTTTTTT